GTTGGGGCACATATGACATTTAAAGGTATGGTCACGCTTGCGTGCGCCAGGCAGAGGCCGGCCACCCACATTCTGCACAACTGAAGGCAGGAAATGGATTTTGGTGAAACTCCTGTGTATAATGAGGTACAGTAGTGGTAGATTTCACATGAAACTTACACGTAATGGTGCAAACAGCATGATTTCAGTTTTATTGTCATGTAGTATGAGAAAGTTTTGCGACATCCATTGTTTAATATTGTTTTAGCAGTCGACTAAGTGCTTCACTCAGTTTGCAGTTTTTTTTTATCAAAGGAAAGATAAATATAGGTATCATCTGCGTAACAATGAAACAAAACGCCGTGTTTCTCAAACGTAATGTACAAACAGAGCCGGGCCTAAAACGGACCCCTGGGGAACCCCGAAAGTAAGAGAGGCAGTGCTGTATGAAATGCTATGGCCAGTGGTTTCAAAGTCTCATTGTGTTCAGTACCTCACCTTAACCCTCAAAGCAGCAGTAACCCTAACCTCACCCTAACCCTAACAATACCTCAAGGTAGAGTCTGGAGCTTGATGGATTCATGGTGGTTAACAATTTGGGCCTTTGGCTGATTTGAGTTGGGAAGTAACACATCAAGAGCTCATCTTCTAAGTGGAGAAGTAGAGATCCAGCATGCATGGATGTCCTAAAAAACAAAAGTCAGCATGCCCAGGAGTGTGGTTCTGAGATGATTCTCCAGGTTCTGAGATGAACCTTTGGGCTCTGAGATGAACCTCCAGGACCTCCACGTTCAGGCCATGGCTGGAAGTATGCGGAAGTTTTGGTTTCTGTGTGAGCAGTGTCTCTCTCAGCGTGTTAAACCGAGGTGGCACCCTACTTGAAGATCTGAGTCACATGGGCTGTTGCATGGCTCCCCCAGATGGAAAACTGTAGAGTTTCTGGAACCTTCCATGATTCAGCCCTGTGAACCCCCGCAGTCTCATCAATGGTGACACACCTCACCGTGTGTGGGCCAGATGCTCAGCCTCATTGTCCACAGAACAAAATCAGAAAACAGCACTTACTTTCTGACTTTAAGAGCCATAAACATCTCAGTGTTTTGCCTTATCTGGGAATTCCATAAGGTGAGTTTTCAGCCTGTTTGGAAAATGGTCACAATCCTGTGAGCAAATGGGAGCAGAACCATGAAACGGAGGATTGTGAGAATCCTAGAGGGAGATGCTGCAAAGGTCTGCCGGTCATCTGATCGCACTTCAGCTGTATAAACTGCCAGTAAACCATCATGTGAATTAACAGCACTTTAGCTCATATGATTTACTGGCAGCAGAAATGAACAAACTGATTGGCCCTGCTATGCACGGTCATGTGATTAGTCACGCAGAGTCGCCTGTTGTGTTGCGTGCAGCACTGACTTGGTCACAGGATGGGTATTGAGGCTGTATAACGGTGCAAAGAGCATCAAGCGCTAAATGGTTTGCATTTTCTTCGTTGTCACCTCTTTACAACTTTGCTTAACCCAGCAGTCCTCGCTGTCCTGTCTCGCTGGGGGGTGGGGTCCACGTCTTTGCGCTGTCCCTCCAGCTGCACACCTGGGCTAGGTAATCAGCTCAGGTGGGGGTGGGTGGGAGCTGAGGCATGGGCTGGCTCAGCCATGAACCTCAAGGTAATAAAACCAACTGCCATTCAAGATCCCCCCACCCTGGCCAAAGGGATCAAATGGCAGCCTTCAGGTCACATGACCCCCAAAGGTCACATGATCTCCACTAGCCTTTATTTTCATTTGCAGAACTCATCTCAGCAAACGGGGGGCATAAAGTCATGCCCTCTTGTTTGTTTGCTTTTGAAAATCTCACATTCTGGGCGATGGTGGTGCAGGAGGTAGTGCTACCGTTCGGCAACCGGAGGGTTGCAGGTTCGAGCCTCGGGTCCTCCTGACTCCATCGAAGTGTCCTTGAGCAAGACACTGAACCCCAAATTGCTCCCGGTGAGCTGGTTGGCGCCTTGCATGGCAGCCTCTGCCACTGGTGTGTGAATGTGTGTGTGGATGGTGAATGTGAGGCATAACTGTAAAGCACTTTGGTACTCGTAAGAGTAGTAAAAAGCACTATATAAATGCAGTCCATTTACCATTTACATGTACCGTTAACCTGGTTAAATACTGACCTGTGGTCAATGCTTGTACATTTAAGGAGGCACCAGCAGAGGGCGCTTCCCCTCTAATGTGCCACACTACTCCATCTTCCTCTGGGAATGCAATGACATGCAGATCGGCTGGCTGGCACCTCTATTACAACCTGGATTGTGTGTGTGACAGATGGGCCTCCTACCCAGCATGGGATAGGCTCCAGGCCCCTCTCATGACCCTGTCCAAGGTAAGTGGTTGGAAGGTGGATGGATGGGTGGATGGATGGGTGGATGGATGGATGGGTGGATGAATGGATGGATGGGTGGATGGATGGGTGGATGGATGGATGGATGGGTGGATGGGTGGGTGGATGGATGGGTGAATGGGTCCAGTATTTATTTTAAAATGATTCACCTCAAAATGAGAGTCAAGTACCTGCATAACCCTCCACACAGACATCTGTGCTGAGCTAAAATGTTACTTTAGGCTGGACACAGTAAGTGACAGACATACCGAAAGAAGAACTGCAAGTGAGTAATGATTCACCCCCCCCCCCCCATCTTCTAAAACCGCCTAACCAATCAATCAGAGATCTGAAAATGCAAAGGCACGGACGTATGGACACCCCAGGTTAATCGCAGATAAATGACGAACTCTAAGGACATGTAGCTCCCTCCCACAGACAACCCCCCCCCACCCCGAACCGGTGCTCCACACTTCCCAGAATAATAGCCTGGAGAACACTGGGTCGTCGGCCATGCGGGGGGTCCTGCACAGATTTGTTGTCAGGTTGCTGGGTGTCATT